CCCCCTGCCGGCCTCCTCGGGAACGCGGGCAGCCTCAAGGCCTGCAGCGTGGCGGGCTCCTGGGTGTGCCCGCGACCCCTGGCGCGCAGCGACTCCGAGAACGTCTACGAGGCCATCCAGGACGTGCGCGGCCCGCCGCGGGAGGAGCGCCCGCAGCAGGTACGGGGAGCCGGGGAGCGGGGAGGCGGGCGGGGCGCGGGGCGCGAGGAGACCGCCGCCCCTCGGCTTAGCGTCTGGCTCGACGCCGAGCAGCAGTGTCCGCCGGCTGTGGACGAGCCCCCTCACGCCGCGCCTCACTTTCCTCACCCGCGAAACCAGAGGGGCGCAGGCTCCAATCGCTTTTCTGCAATTCCGGAATGCCGAAGCTCCCTGGAGCCCGAATGTTTTCCCTAACTCAGTTGGTGGCAAAATTTGACTTGAGCCCGTGTGAAGCCGTTGGTGGTCTTCATTTATGACATTTAGTTCTCCTGCAGAAATGCAGATGAACTTGATTACGGTGCGCTGCCCCAAGCCTTGGGGACAGGTGTGTGCGCCCCATTACCTACCTGCCGCACCATTCCGAAAGCCCTTCTCGTAGAAGCTTGGGGGTCAAATGAGATAATGGATGTGAAAGTCAAGGGTCTGCTTCCCTTTTTGGCTTCTCCCAACATTTCAGTTCCCCCTTTATAAAAAAAAAAAAAAAATTGTTTGTTTCAGGAAGAGGTCCAGTTACAGTGAGGATGTTTTTTTCGTTTCAGAATCCAGTTGTGTTAATTTGGGAAATTGAAAATAGAGCACGTTTTAAAAAACACTTGTACGTCCTCAGAATGCTTCGCATGGCCCTGACATCTTGAATTTTAGGAACTTGGGGCGGGGGGAGCCGTGGAGGGAGGATGCACAGACCCCTTTTTGACATCTGCCACCAGATGGGTAATTAGGGGCAATTCACTTCCTCTCTCGGGGGTCTCAATTTGTCCTTTGGCCCAAAGAGGGGTGGAAAGGGTGGAGAGATGAGCCCCCAAACCTTGTGAGTCTCTGATTTCTTTCTTTGTACTTGATGTAAACATTGATGCCTGGCACATGCCAGGACTGAGTCTGGGATGCCCAGCGGAAGGAGACACCGTCCCAGTCTGTGACCTCCTGGGTCTTCCCATCACCCGGTCTGGTTACAGTGCAAAGAGCTCAGGATTTGAAGCTGGAGAGACTCGAATTTGGCCCTGCTGGGTCACCTGCCAGCTGCTGAGGCGTCACTTAATTCCCCCAGCCCCAGTGTCCTCCTGTATAAAGGAGTAGCGTTGTGAGCCTTCAACGAGGTGAGGCATGGAAGCTCTTGGCACGTAGTAGGCGCTCCACCAAGGCTGGCTGGGGTCCCATTTGGTATCCTCGTCGGCGCCGCCTTCGTTTTGGTTTCTGCAAGGAGCAGCCCGCCCCCTTGTGGCCACAGCGGGGAACAGCATCCCGCGGGTGAGGACTGGGACCCGGACTCCGCCCAGAGGGAACGGGGGCGGGGCAGTGGGGGGATCTTGGGCCCGGCGTCCCTGAAGGCCAGTTGGCCAGCTTCTCTGGGACAGATGACTGGATGCCAGCGCTCCTCACCCCGGCGTCCGTCCGTTTCCCAGGCAGGCTCTCGGAGGCACATTCCAGGGTCTCTCCAGATTCTCGGTCCCGCTTGTCCCTCCTTCTTTCGGAGCAGTTACAGCTTTGTGATACGGGTGGGGGACACAGGGGATGGCGGGGGTGGTGCTTGCGCCCGGAGGGACTGGGGCGTCTGCCCCGGAGACCTGGGTATTGGTAGAGAGGCTCAGCCTCGTCTTGCTTCTGGCCCTAATTCACAGTGGGACCTCAACAAGAGGCTTAGGATCTCTGGTCCTGTCTCCTCCCTGTGTCATGGGTATAATCTCGCACTCCCTGTGACCCCGCTTTATTCCAGTGTCAGCTGTGGGTCTCCCCGACACCCAATCCCCTACACACTCCAGGGGTAGGGGGTTGGTTCTCTCCTGGGAGGGAAACCCCGTTCTGCTCTTAGTTGTTCAAGGCCGCATTTGGAGAAGGAATCTCCTGAAAGGTGAGCCTACCTGTTTTCTTCTTGGAGGCAGGAGAGGCTACTCACTCACTCATCAACTAAGCAGGCACTGGCCTCCCACCTGCCAAGCACCTGGTGAAGCACAGCCCCCCCAGCCCTGGAGAGCTGCCATCTGGGTCAGGAGCCTGGCAAGAGGGGACAGATGCCTCAGGCCAGGCACAGGCCATCTGGGGTAGAACAACACCCAGCGTGCCGTGGCGCCTAGGCATGGGTGTGGGTGTGGGATGTGGCACCCTCGGGGCCTTGCAGCCCCGCCCCCACCCTGCACTGCGGGGGCGCTGTGCGGACAGGGTGGTGCCTGGCCAGGCAGGGCCTCATGGGCTCTCGCCAGGGATGTGGACTTCATTCTGCAGCTGCTGGAAGACTCTCAGCACAGCAGGGAGTGGGGTTCGGAAAAGACCCCCGTGGGTGGGATTTTGAGAAGGGCAGAGGACCTGCGTGGTCTCCCAGGCATGCAGTGAGGACAGGAGATTTGGGAAGCTGATGCCGAGGGATCTGGGGTCCGATGGAGGGTGGGAGAGAAGTCGGGATGAGTCCCAGTCTCCCAGTTGCACACCTGGCAGATGGTGGTCTGTTTATTCGGCGGTGACAGGTCCAGGCAGCAGCTGGAGGCCGGGCCTACTGCCCAGGAGATGGCCCTCAGCACGTGGTGGTGGAGATGGGGGTGCGGAGAGCATGTGGACAGGAAGAAATAGTCAGGGAACAAGGAGGAAAAGCAGGAGAGTACTGGTCCAGACACCGAGAAGTGGCCAGAAGAAAGGAGAAGTTAGATAAAGGCCATTAGACATTTATCGGAAATGGTGACCCCAAGGTCAGCAGCCACCTTATCAGGAGCTGGTCAAGGGGTTACTGAAGGCAGAAGGCAGAGGTCAGAGGGATGAAGGTGAGGACACAGGCCGCGTGTAGAAACCCAGCAGCTTGGCAGGGAAGGGAGAGACACTGTGTGGCCAGAGGTAGGTGGAGGTCGAGAGGGGAGGCTCCCCAAAGCTAAGTGAATGGTCAGGGGCCAGGAGAGCAGGAGGCTGAGGATGGTGAGGAGGTGGTTGGTGAGACAGGATTCGGGGAGAGAGGCTGAGGGGGCGCCAGGGCTGAGCGGGAGGGACCCGCTTCCTCTGAGGCAAGGGGCAAGGATGTGTGGTTGGAGGGTCAGGGTCGTCGAGGAGGGTGGACCAATGGCCAAGGGGAGAGGGTGGTATGGGGGTGGGACCGTCGGCAGAGGCAGGGCCCCCTCCAGAAGAGAGGAGCCTCCACACTGTGTGGCATTTTACAGCCTTGTCATTCACCCTCCACTCAAATAGCATGTAATGAGCACCGGGTGTGTCCTGGTCAGAGTGCTGGACCCTGGGGACACAAAGTGTGTTACACATGACTTGATCCTGTCCCAAAGGGGCTAATGGTCCTGTGGGCTCTCACCCAAAGCCAGAGTGCAGAGGTGCAGAGGGGTTTAGCGGCTGGCTGAAGGTCACCCAGGCAGGAGGTGGCTGAGTGCAAGCCACTTCCATGCCTCCTGACCCCCAACCCCACGCCGGTCAGCAGGTTCAGTCTCAGCCGGGTGGCCTGCAGCCTTGGCCGTTCCGCTCAGCAGGGGCAGTACAAGCCGGAGGCAAACAAGTATTCCCTTTCTTTCTTTCTTTCTTTCTTTCTTTCTTTTTTAAGATTTTATTTATTTGACGGAGAGAGACACAGCTAGAGAGGGAACACAAGCAGGGGGAGAGGGAGAGGGAGAAGCAGGCTTCCTGCGGGGCTCAATTCCAGGACCCTGGGATCATGACCTGAGCCGAAGGCAGCTGCTTAACGACTGAGCCCCCAGGCGCCCCAAGTATTCCCTTTCTAAGTGTCCCGTATGTGCCCAGCCCTGGGCACGGGCCACAGGGAAGGACGCAGGAATTCCAAACCCTCATCTTCCCTCCTGCTACTGAGGGCCTGGGAGGAGGATAAGCTGTCCCAGGAGAGGGCAGCGGCTCACCTTCGGAGGAGGGAGAGAGGGAGGTGGGGTTTGTGAGCTGGAGCACTCTGCCCCCACCCCCACCGGGAGCCTGGAAGCCCGGTGAGGAGGGGCCTCCGAGACTCCTCCCCTGGGGCTGCGGCGGGGTGGGGGAGGGGGGCCTGCTGACTCGGGGATTTCAGGGTGCGGTCACCATTCCCGCCCCAGGGCCTCGGAGGTGGAAAGGCCCAGGCCGGCTTTCTGGCCTGGAGCCCGCCCCTGCTGCCCAGGCATTGGCCACAGGGAGGAAAGAGGTACAGCCTCGGGCCCCTGCAGCTTCCTATGCAGCCGGCCCAGGAGGCGCCTCACCTGAGTAGCCGGCCTGGACTAGAAGGAGCCCCAGGGCCCTGGTTCCCTGTCCTCTCCTGAGAACTGTGAGTGACCCCTCAACCTCGAATGGAGCACAGGGGTGCTCTCTCCCCTCCTTCCCTCCGCCTGCTCTTTTCCTGTACCCAGGCTGAAACCCACCTCCTCTCTGGACCCCAGGCCTGGCACCCACTCCTTGGGACAGACTCCAAGAGCCACCCCAGGCAGCTGTGATTGGGACAAAAGAACTGGCCTTGGACAGACCCACCTGGATCCCCCTTCGGGACCAGCCAGGGGGCCCTCTGGAAAGGGGGGGTTAGTAAGAGCAGGGGAACTGAGGCCAAGGGGAGGGTCCAGTGAGTCCCCTTGTCTGTATGCTCTCCTCCCAGCAACAGTCTTTCTTCCCCTCAGCCCCTACCCAGGGAGGTCAGCTGTCCTGCAGTGGCCCAGCAGGTTTCTTCACACCTGGCCTGACCTTTCCTTCCCTGTGACTCACCTGCAGCCCAGGCTGACCCTGGAGCCCCACTGCCCAACCTGTGTCCTGACCCATGAAACAGCAGATTCTTGGGTAGCCCCCTCCCAACCTCAGCCCACATTCCCGGCCACCAGTGGTCCTCCCCACCCACCACTCCCCAGGCAGAAAGGAAAAAATCCACTCCCCCGGGGCGTGGCAGCCCCCATGGCTCGGTGGGGTCCCCTGGGTGATCTCCCCTGAGCCTGGGCCTTATTATTCACCTCTCAGTCTCTGGTTCCTCAGAACCCCCGGGGCCTCCTGAGACCGGTCCACTTGCTTCCCCACTTCCTTCCTGAGCCCCAGCAGCCTGCTTCTCTCTTGATCTGTTTTCTCTGCCTTTCCTGGAACTGTGTCCAGTAGTGGGGAGGACCAGGCACTTGGCAATGAATGCCAACCCCAATGACTAGTCAGTGCCCGGCCCTCGGCATGGGAAAGCCCATCATCATGACTGGGATCAGCTGATCAAAACGTGGTCAGGGTTCCAGACCAGAGCGTCAGGGGACAGTTGATGTTGGTTGGCACTGAAGGAAAGGGGGCTGCCAGGGTCCAAGGGACATAGGGGTCCTTGCTGAAGTTCAGGAGGCTCTCTTGCCAAACCGAGGAAGGACTGTGGTGTTGAGGGGACTTCCAGAGCAGCTGCTGAGGTACAGCAAGGCCTGCAGGACCCTTCTGCAGCCCAGGCTCTGGGCTCCTGTGGGTGGCGCCCTGCATCCTCTCCTTCCCTTGGGCGGAGGTCCAGCGTGAGGCATCAGGTGAGCAGGGCCAGGCCCCTGTCAAGGCTTCCATGTCTGTGCCAGGGGCTGGGTCAACTTGGCCAGGGAGAGGAAGCCAGAGGAACCAAGAAAGGTGCCAGAAGGGGGCCCGCCTCCAGATCCCCCCAGCCACCTTCCCGCCCCATCTACGCAACTGGAGTGTTCCTGGAATCATCTGAATTTGTAAATTACTCTTCCCCCTTTAAAAATAGTTTCACGCCATTGCAAATATTTGGCTAATGGAGGGAAATCTCAATCTAATGACTATTAGCATTTTGGTTTCTCCCCATCCATCTTGCTTCGCTCTGTGTGGGAGAGTTTTACAGATGGGGGAGGGGGGGTGTCCCGGGACGCTGACAGTGGCACTGTGATTTTTCACTTACAGAGTCATTGATTCAGTACAGGGCAGGTGCCGGGAGGCAATGAAACACAAGGCGTGGTCCCTGCCCTCAGACAGTTGACTCTCCGGGAGGAGAGCTGGGCAGGCAAACCCACAGTTCCGACCTGCTGTGGCGGGGGGGGGGCCGCTCGCTGGGGGGGGTCCTCCCCAGAATCCTGCTGGCCAGAGAGAAACCTAGGATTGCCTCCCCGCCAAAGAACGGGGATAGCAGGTGAATCCATTCAGCCTCACATCCATTCAGCCTCCTCCGTGAACCCCTCTGGACCTGGTGCTTTGTCAGGGGCAGAATTTTTTTTCTCATCAATGGTAATTTGGTCTTTTCAAGTTTTCCATTCATTCTTGTTCGTTTTGGCCGTTTTGGTTTTTTACTAGGAAAGCATTCATTTTTCCTAGATTTGCAAAATCTCCACTTCTAAATTTATGTATGGATTTCTTTGTGACCGAGGAAACCATTTTTCTAAGTTTTTCATAGCCATGGAAAAACTGTGTATTTTCTATTTAAAGGACATCAGGTCCTGTACAGATCAAGCCAAGCTGATCGATTCTATTATTGAAACCTGGGTTTCCTTTGTGGACCTCTTTTTGGTTTTGTTTTATCCTCCAGGTCCGATGAGGTTTATTAAATCTCCCACTCAAATTTTCTCAATAAAGTTCTTCTTGTACTTTTAGTAGGTTTCGCTTTTTGTGTTTAGCTAGAACGCTGCTGGGAGCGCACCGATTTTGGCAGACTGTCCTTCGTATCATTACCTGGTGTCCCTCTTTATCCCGCGGGGTGCTTTCAACCCGAAACTCCACCTTGCCGTTATGAACCTGGCCACTCTTTCTATTTTATTCGATTTTATTTTTTACACTCGCCGATATCTCTCAGCATCCTTTAAGTTTCAACATTATCATGTTTTTATTTTTTTTTAATTTTTTTTTAAAGACTTTATTTATTTGAGAGAGAGAATGAGATAGAGAGCATGAGAGGGGGGAGGGTCAGAGGGAGAAGCAGACTCCCTGCCAAGCAGGGAGCCCGATGCAGGACTCCATCCTGGGACTCCAGGATCATGACCTGAGCCGAAGGCAGTTGCTCAACCAACTGAGCCACCCAGGCGCCCCATTATCATGTTTTTAAGTGTCTTTCTTATATCTATCTATCTATATCATACCGCTGAATTTTGAAACCCAAGACGACTCGTCTTCTGATGGGATAATGCACTCTTTTCCAATTTTGTTTAATGACGGGTACAGCGTACTTGATTTTGTTCCTAATGGTTTACTTTACATTTATTGGTTTTCCTGTGGTTTGCCTTCCCCTCCTATCAGGGTGCTACTGATTCTTTTCTTTGCCTGTCACTCTGTTGTCCTGCGACACTTTGCATTTCATTCATGGCTTCTGCTTGTCCCTGGGGTTCCTAGTCAAACTTGCCCTGGGATGTGCAGAGATGGGGATTCTTTTTCTTAGCCCCCCCCCGGAACTCACAGAACCCCATCAGTCTCTAGATAGCCTTGGGTCATTTCTTTTTTCAGCTTAGAGAAATCTGTGTGTTGCATGATTATTGTGTCTTTGACTTTTTCTTTCATTTACACGTTGGCTCTCTTGACAGACTTCTCCAGTTTTGTAGCTTTGCCCCCTTTATTTCTTATCTCTGTGTGCGTTTGTTCTGAGAGATTTCTCTTGCTTTATCTTCCAGGCCACAAATCTGAGTCTGGAGAGTGACTATCCATCCTCACCTTCAATGAGTAGTGCAATGATATATTTTAAGTTCTAAAGTAGTCTTTTTTTTCTTTTGTGCTTTACTTGAATCTCCTTAAGAATTCTTTTTTGTTGTTCTTCGAGTTGTCACTGTGTTTTCCAGCCCCTCTATCTGGCTAATATCAAGATTTTTTTTTAATGAGATAATGTGGGGCGCCTGGGTGGCTCAGTCGGTTGGGTGTTTGCCTTCAGCTCAGGTCATGATCTCAGGGTCCTGGGATCGAGCCCCGCATCGGGCTCCCTGCTCAGCGGGAAGCCTGCTGCTCCCGCCTGCTTGTGTGTGCACGTGCGCGCTCTCTCGCTCTCTGACAAATAAATAAAGGAAACCTATAAAAAAAATTAGATAATGTACTTTCATGGTTTTTAAAAATCAAAGCAACATTAAGAAGTATATAGTAAAATTCCCACACATACCCCTGCTTCTGTGCCCTGTTCTCCATGAGGAGAACATCAGAAAGTCACCACTTTCATTCATTCTTTTTCTATTCTCCCAGAGTTTCTTTGTGGTTTTTTTTTTAAGATTTTATTTATTTATTTGACAGAGAGAGAGAGACAGAGAGAGAGGGAACACAAGCAGGGGGAGTGGGAGAGGGAGAACAGCCTTGTATGAAAACACACTTGATTACTTGATTTTCTGTCTCTCTTACATAAAGGTAGGCTGCAGTACACACAATCCTATATCTTGCTTATTTTTTGCCTTTTTGATTTAATCATGTATCTTGGAGATTGTGCATAGAGAGTATCAGTCTCCTTCCTTATCACTACATGGGTTTTCATTGTAGGGATGTATCATAAATTCTGCTGTTGATGTGCCCTTGGACTGTTTCCCGACCTCTGCTGTTGCAGACAAGGCTATAATAAATAATCTTTTTTAAGATTATTTTAATTTTAAGATTATTTTTAAATAATCTTTCACGCAAATGCAGGTAAATCAAGGATAGATCCCAGAAGTAAGATCGCTGGGTGGAAGGGTAAACGATAGGTATTTGTTAGATTTTGCCAAATTGCTGTCCCTGTCCGTGGGGCTCACACCGATTTACATTCCCACCAACACAGATGTGAGTGTGTGACTCCCCACAGCCTTGCCAACCAAGTGTCGGCAAGATATTTTCTGCCGATCCAATAGTAAAATACATGCTCTTAAGAGAGCTTGAATTTGCATTTCTCTTTTCAGTGAAAGTGAGCATCTTTTCATAGATTCAAGGACTGTTTGTTTTCCTTTTTTGTGTCAACGGTCTATTTATAGCCTGTGTTCATTTTTCTATTGAGTTATTGGTCTTTTACTTACCGGTTATTAGAAGGTTTTGCCATTCAAGGGAAAATAGCCTTCTATCTCCTGCGTGAGTTGTAATCTCCCCAAGTTTGTCTTCTGACTTCGCGAATGTCATGTTTTGGCCACACAAATCACTTTGGATACATTTATGTGGTCAAATGTAGAAATCACTTATTTTATGGCTTTTAGATTTAGAGCCTCTGTTACCAAGGTCTTTTTTAAATCTAAAATTTTGCTCCTCATGTTTTCTTCTTTGAGTATTTTCCTGGGTTTCACTTTTTACATCTAAATCTTTGATCCTTTAGGGGGTATATCTGAGTGGACAGAGTAAGATGGAGACACACCTTTAATTATTTTTTCTGGATGGCCATCCAGCTGTCCTGTCACCTTT